CATCATCATTTTGCAAGTCTCCCCCATGATTAACAGGTATCAAAGGTATTGTGGAGTATGTGTTGGATTTGAATTAGATGGAATAAAGATGGTAGACTTTGTTTTCTTCTTTTGTTCAAAGTCTTCAATGGTTTGATCTTCAAAGAAGATAACATCTTTGTTTCTCATAATTTTCTTCTCTTTTGGATCCCACAACCTATAGCCAAACTCATCATCTTCAAAGACCTAGAAAATACACTATTTTATCTTGTTGTCAAGCTTAGACCTTTCATCTCTAGGAACATGTACAAATGCTCTGCATCCAAACACTCTTAAATGTGCATAAGAGACATTATTTCCTTTCCAAACTCTATTTAAAACATCAAATTTAAGAGAAACTGATGAAGAAAGGTTGATCATGGCAACTATAGTTTTCATTGCCTCACCCTAAAAGGACTTAGGCAGTTTTGCATGAGAGAGCATACATCTAATTCTTTCAATAATGGTTCTGTTCATTCTCTCAGCCTCTCCATTCTGCTATGGAGGTTTAAAAAATGTTTTCTCCAACTTGATACCATGTTCCCTGCAATACTTCTCAAAAGAACCCCTGTATTCACCACCATTGTCAGCTCGAATACGTTTCAGCTTTCTACTAGTTTCTATTTCAACTCTAGCATGGAAATCCTTAAAGATATTAAACACCTGATCTTTGGATTTTAAACAAGTAGCCCAAATTTTCCTAAAGTGATCATTAATAAACTAATAAAGTACAATGCACCTTTAAGAGACTTCTCAATCATTGAGCAAACATCAGTATAAACTAAATCAAGAACATGTGATCTTCTATGTGAAGTTGATCTTTAAAACGCAACTCTGTGTTGTTTGCCAACAATGAGTACATGTGTTCAAATCCATACCTTTTAATAAAAGGTAGTTTTTCTTGGTAAGGATGCCAAGACCTTTCTCACTTAAATGTCAAAGCCACTTATGCCATAGATTAGTAAAGTAATCTTCAATTGCATTAACCTTGCTTTTGATCACCTTGACTTGTGACATGTAAAGACCCATCTTTTTCTCTTTAGCAACAATCAGGGAATTTCTAGAGAACTTCCATTTACCATCTTCAAAGTAATTGTGATAGCCTTCTTCATCAAAAGTACCTGTAGAGATCAAGTGTAGGCGCATATCCGGCACATGCCTAATATCTTTAAGTAGCAATTTGCACCCAGTATTGGTTTCCAACTAAATATCTCCAATGCCTACAACATTAGCCATCCCTTGTGTTGTAACCCAATTTTGGATTCACTAAATTTTTTTTTAAATGTTATTTTATCTTATTATTCATGACAAAAAAATAAAAATAAAAAAAGAAAAAGAAAAGAAAAAAAAGAGTTTAAAATATATTTTCTCGAGTAAACCGTCATTTTCGGTCAAAACCGGGTCCACCGGGTCATT